CGGCCTCGCGCTGCTGGGCCAGGCGCGCCGACAGGAAGGGCGAGGTGTAGCCCAGCGGCGGCTCGGGCTCGGGCCCCGCCTGCACGGACTCGAAGTCGGGGCTGTCCGACGGCGTGAGCAGGCTGTCGTACGACAGGCTGCCGTTGCGCGTCTGGTTGGCCAGGCTCTTGTAGGACGTGGAGGTGGTGCCCTCCGAGCGGATGGACTGCAGCTGGCCCAGCTCGAAGCCCGTGCCCTGGGCCGACTTGAGGCTGGAGGAGCGGGAGCCGCTGGACAGGGGGTCGAAGTGGAAGCTCTTGCCGAAGGTGGGAGAGCGGAAGCTCTCAGGCTCCAGGCTGGGCTCGGAGCGGTAGCTGGGGTGGCGGCTGCTCTCTGCAATGGAGGTGGGCTCCTTCAGGCTGTCCCCGCGGCTCAGCTGGGGAGGAAGGGCAGTGCTCAGAGCCAGCCGGCCGCGCGCGCGGGCCCAGGCGACCGCGAGCTGCAGAGCGCACATCCGGGACTCTGGAGCCGAGGACGCGCGCAGCAGGCCGTGCGCACTCTGCTCTGCGGCCCCGCGCACCCCTCTGCTGAGGACACCAGTGCACACAGTCTGCAGCGGCAAGCATGGAGAGCCCGGCCGGCTCCACCCTACCTTGGCACTGGAGGAGTGAGGCATGGCCGCCGCGCTGCTGCTGCTATAGCCTGGCCGGTACTTGTACATGGTGGGCGTCGGGGGGCTGTCCTGGCCCAGCAGGCTGCTGTCTGCAGAAGCAAAGCCGGGAGCCACATCACAACCGTGAGGTCGAGCCTGAAGGACAGGGCAGGGGCAGCGCAGGCACACGTCCACCCCGCAAAGGAAACAGCCTGGAGCCAGGCGTGGTGGTGCAGCCTGGAATCCCAGCACTCTGGGAGGCTGAGGCAGGAGGAGTTTGCCTTCAAGCCCAGTTGGGGCTGACACTAAGTTATTTAAAGAGACACTGGGGCTGGGGATTTAGCTCAGCGGCACAGCGCCTGCCTGGCAAGCGCAAAGTCGTGAGTTCAATTCCCCTTACCAGAAAAACAAAAACAAAAACATTTAGAGACACTGTCTCAAAAAATAACAAAAAGGCCAGAGATGTAGCTCAGTGTGAAGCCCCTATGGTCAATCCCTAGGACCCCAAAAAGGAAAAGGAACATGTAGGGAATGTGATTTACTGCGGCCAGGAGTCGGGCATGCAGTGCTGGTGCACATTTCAGGGTGGGTGAGCAGCAGCCACAGGACCCCTCTGGTGTGCCCGGAAGCCGAACATGTCTTCCCTAAAGGGCTCAATGGCACCTGTCCTCAGCCAGCAACACCCCCGCCCGCAGAGGCGTCTCCCGCCAGCCCCGGGCCTCACCCTCGTGCGGAGCCAGGCTGAGGTGCGTGCGCAGCCCCGTGTAGCGGCTCAGGTCCGGCTTGGGGGGTGGCGGCGGCTCTGCGTCTGCGGACTGGCTCTCCGTGATCTCCAGGCTGCCCTTGGACTGCACAGGGGAGGGAGGGAGGGTCAGGGTTGTAGCACCCACACTAGAGAGCTGTGGGAGAGGCGCAGCAGAGCTGTCGGCCATTTCTTTCCTCTTCTTCTTTGAGATAGGTCTCCTATGTAGCTCAGCCTAGCTCTGAACTCACTTTGTAGCCCTGGCTGGCCTTGAAGTCTCAGTGGTTCTCCTGCCTCAGCCTCCCCAGTGCTGAGATTACAGGTGTGCACCACCACACCCCGCTTTTCTTTTAGATTCGTTTTATCAGTGCGTTTTAGATATACATAATGCCCACGCTCATCGTGGAGAAGTCATTCCTGCACAGGATGGGTCTTGCTTTTTATCCCACTTGCCTCCCCTCAACCTCTCTTCCCCTCACCTACACAAAAGCTTGGTTTCCATTTTCTCCTCTTTTTTTCCTCTTCCTTCCCCCCCCACTTCCTGCTCTCCCTCCCATCTGAGTATTTCCTCCCCGTTTCCCGAATCTGTTGGCATCTTGGTCCTTTACACGTTCAGTTCCCCCCAGAAGGACGATGCGGTGTGAGACGTGCCTGCGTGACAGGGCATCTCTAGGCCAGGAGCCGAGACAAAGCGCGAGGACCAGCGCAGGAACAGTGCGAGACACAGGCCGCTCCCAACAGCGCTCCACTGTCACCTGCTTGTTCATTTCAGCTAACAACCCTGCGTCCCGCTCCTATCACCTGCCAGCCGGGAAGTCTTCTTACGAAGACATCACAACGAAGGGGCGCGGTTCTACTCCTGAACTGGAACTCTAACGAAGGAGAAGCCTGGGATGTACGTGATGTGAGCACAATGCCCCTGTGAGGAAGCTGCAGACCTGAGGCGCATCTCGGTGTGCCTCCGAGGCAAGCACGAGGCGAGCACACGCTCAGCGCACACGCGGTCCTAGCTCAGGGCCCAGCCGGCAAACCAAACAGTGAGAAGTACGGCAGAGACCCCAGTCACCGCCCCTCACTTCCAGCACCCTCACCTTCGCTCTCCTCAGCTCCCCCTGGATGCCATTGTCCATGATCTTCACAGTGATCTGCCCGTCCGACACTTCCGGCCGAAGGAAAGGAGGTCTGATGACAATCGTCTTCTCTCTCTTTGGTCTCCCCAAATACCTGCGTATGGAGAGTAAGAAGGCTTCCTTCAAGCACCCCTGCCTTCCTTTCAGAGTCCTGCCTGCCTCGGGCGAGCAGCGCAGGTCATGCTACAGCAGGCTGAGGTCTCACTGTCCCGCTCACCAGCAGTTCCTTCTCATTTAAGTTAGGTTGGGGACTTCTGTTTAATGGCAGCTGAAGGGCCATGTCCAAATGGGAAAATCAGGCGGGGCGTGGTGGCGCATGCCTGTAATCCCAACACTCAGGAGGCTGAGGCAGGAGGATCACCGTGAGTTCGAGGCCCACCTGGGCTACAAAGTGAGTTCAAGGCCAGCCTGAGCTGCATAATGAAACCCTATCTTAAAAAGGCAAAAAAAATTTAAAAAATAAAACAAATGGGAAAATTCGTTTACACGTGTGGTCAACTTCTCAAGAAAAGTTGCACTAATACGGTATTTTATCACCAGATGAAAAAAGAGATGATCATTTAAAAATTAACATATTTAAAGCTGGGCATGGTGGCAATTATGCCTGTAATCTCAGCACTTAGGAGGCCAAGACAGGAGGATCTGTGAGTTTACCAGCCTGGGCTACACAGCAAGAACCTATCTCAAAAAAAAAAGTAAAATAAATCATAGCAAATAACATGTATGTGTCAGACCTTAATGCAAAGATCTTGTACTGTAACTTTAAAGCATACAAATCAGAGTGATAACCTACGGACTTAAAAACAGGTGTGTAAATATTTTTGAAGAGTATTATTTGGGAGCTAAGATATAGCAACAACCAAAACAAAAGACCCTACTTGTTGCCAAATACAAGACCTGTTCCTGGCCAGGAGCAGTCCAGTGACAGGGCAAAGCCCTGGGTTTAACCTCAAACCAGGAACACCCTAGTCCTGCAGGGGCTGCCAGCAGAAAGGCAGCCGCAGAGCGTTCTTGGTTCCATTACGAACCACAGCAAGACAGGCCAGGGAGCAGGCGCCTGGCTCTGGGCCTTCGGGAGGTCTCATCTACCATCCACTCTTGCAACCTCAGCCAACTAGAGCCACAGGCTCCTGAGGGGCAGGCACCTCTCCCCCTGGCAGGATCTCACCATTCTGAGACTGAGACCCTGCACCAGAACACAGCCGGAGGAGGCGAAGCACCGACCGGGCGAACACCCAGCCCAAGGGGCCCGGGCTTACCTAGGCGCTGGGGAGCTGCAGAGTACGCGGCTGACGTTGTTACAGCAGCCATTGGTGAAGGGGTTCACGCCTCCTCGGAATTTACCCGTAACCTGGAGAGGGCAAGAGAACAAGCTCATCAGGATCTAAGCCAACGCACCTCAGCAGCAGGTTACTCTGCAACAACTAACTGGGGGATGCAGAAGTAACAAAATACACAGGGACCATCCAGAAGCTTCCACTTGAGAAGGCTGTGGACAGGGACTCTAGAGTTAGGTCCTCAGTTTGAATCCCAGCCACCAGAGGGGCAGTGTCTCTGACCCTGAACATCGGTTTCTAGAGATCAAATGACACTGTTTTCCAACATCAAACAGATCATGTGCAGCTGTTCAAGTCCCTTACATCAAATGGCACGGCATGTATACATCTCATACACCCTGGACCATCTCTGGACTCCTTACAATACTTTACAGCTGTATTCGCACTACATCACTTAGGGAATGGCAAGGAAAGCTGTATGTCTGATACAGACACAATTTTTTTCTGAGCACCTGTCCTCGGCCGCTATAAAGACCAGGCAAGCCATTAAGATTGACCGAACTGTGCGTGCAAAGGCACCTGTCCAGGTGGCACTGCCCATGTCTTACGACTGGCCCACCAGCGCCCTCAGAGCCTACACACCTGCAGCCCACAGGCACTAAGACATGGCCCCACTCCCACGGCCCAAGGGCGCAGACCCACCACTCCGCCCCACCCACCTCTCCAGAAAATCACCCGGTAGCCCCCGCCACCCTGGGTCAGAAGCATCCCCGCTAGCACCGACGCCCAGACAGGGCACAAGACCAGCTGCCCCACTGCCCCCACAGCAGCTCCATACCTGCTCGTTGGTTGTGCGTCCCCTGGCCACCAGCACCACGTGAAATCCCGTGAGGCCCGCGACAGGGATGAAGAACAAGCCCGCCACACACATCACTGCCATACTGACGCCAAGCAGTCAAGGAGAATGTCCCAGCCCTCTGGCACCATCTTCCCCAGGACCGCACCTCCCCAGCTCCTCTCCACCAACCCACACCCCACGTAGCCTGAAGGATACGTGACAGCCGTGCGGACGCCTGAGAGCTCCTCCAAATGGTAGAGGACGTAAAGGAGGCCAAAGCCAAACACGCCCATGATGTGGGCTGTCAGGGAGAGGAGGAAGAGGAAGAAGTAGCGGTAGTTCCGGCGGCCAATACAGTTGTTCACCCAGGGGCAGTGGTGGTCAAATTCCTAGGCAGAGAGACACAGCTGGAGAGGTGCCCTAGGCCGGCTGCCACCCTGACCTCCACTCCGAGAGGAGAAGAGGGGGAAAGCGGGGAACTCTTGAGTCGCACAGGGCCACGTCGACCACTTAGTCCTCGAGCTCACAACAGGCTCTCTATGGCCCTAAGGGAGACCTTCCGGAGGTCAGTCAGAGGCCAGGGCCAGTTCTTGAAGCCAGTTCATCTTGTATGACCAAGGAACTCCAAAAGTGACAAATGTCAAAGGCTTTGCACACCAAACTTCAGGAGAGGACAGCCTTTGAAAGGGAAATCTGGCAGACAACTGCTCACAACTAGGTAAAAGTAAGATTAAAAATAAAAGCGGCTGCAGAAGAATCCCCGAACAGGAGATATAACTAAATCTGGACACACAGCGTGATTCTGTGGGAGCAGGAAAACTCGCAGCCAGGACAAAGCAGCACAGTGGCTTTGCACTTGTGCCCCTTAGGGAGACAGCGCCCCTCCTGTGACCCCGCAGTCTCCAAGCCGCTCACATGGGCACTTCCAGGCCAACACCGGTCCCAAAAGCGCCCGGTCAGGTTCCGGGATCCGTGCTCACCTCCACACAGTTGTCACAGACGCTGCAGTGCGAGCAGCGTGGCGGCCGGTAGAAGCGGCAGGTGGCGCACCACTTCATGCGCACCTGGATGCCCTTGATCTCCACTGTTTTGTACAAGGGAGCTCGGAAGTCGTCCTCTTTGTCCTCATCCTCCTCCGCTGTGGAAAGGAAAAGATTAAAACAGCTATGCCGAAAACTGTAGGAAGCACTAGGGACGTAATGGTATTAAAAGTACACCTCCTTGAACCACACACAAGGAGTGTAAACCTAGGGGCTGCAAACAGGTACTAATGAAAATAGAAACAGCAAAAGGAAGAGACGGGGAATCTGCGCAGACCTATAGCAAGTGGAAAAATAACATGCAGCGTGGCGTCTGCCTTGGAGGACCTCAGTCCGACAGGTGAAAAGCCAAGGGACGGGGCCGCCCACCGCTGGGCGCAGCTGCGCACCCAGGGATTTATCTGTGTGGGGAACGGAGTTCAAAGAGAAAATGACTCAGGGAGGGAGGGCGCTCGACGCGCACAAGCTGGCCTCTGCCCCACACAGCGGGAACTCCTCCGACAGCAACCGTCACTTACGTATCGAGATACACCAAGAGCAAGCCTGCAGGACCATGCGGCACCCACTCTTCCTCCTCTGTATTGCTCCTCTGCCACACCACCCTACTCACTGTGGGCACCGCCAGCTCCTCCCCGTGGCGCCCTCGCCAGATGGCCTCCCCTCCCCAGGAGTCTCACACGCACTTCCTTTTCGGCTCTGTTTGACTGACACAGGTCTCACTACGTAGCCCAGGCTAGCCTCGAACTCGGTCCCTCAGCTTCAGCCTCCCTGTGCCATCCCTGTGCACTTGTGCCGTCACACCTGGCTGTTGTCACGGATGTGTCCAGAGGCCCCCAAACCCTCATGTGGTCACAGGGGGGGCTTTTCCGAGCGTGTGATGCTGGGACCAAGGGTTCATGCTGCAACCGACCCATGATGCAATACTGGGATTAAGGCTGCCCATCCTGGGTCTGAGTGCCGCCCCTAAGGGTGGGCAGCCTGGATCCAATATAAGGACAGAAGGGGGGCTGCTGTTGTCACTGCTTGTTGCATACTGCTTCACTGCATCTTCAGTACTTTGCTGCCTTCTGCGTGCCCTGCTATGAACTCTTCCTCCTCTGTATTGCTCCTCTGCCACACCACCCTGACCCAGCCCAGTAAGGACTGAATCTCCACAAACTGTGACCTAAGTAAACCTCTCCTCCTTTAGCTTTGAGTGTCAGGTTGTTTTTTGTTTTGTTTGTTTTGATGTGATGTGTTTGAGACAGGATCTCACTACACAGTACAGGTTAGATTTGAACTCACTATGAAGCCGTCTGGCCTCAAACTCGTAGCAATCCCCCTGCCTCAGCCTCCTAAGTGCTAGGACTTTTGTTTTGTTTTGTTTCTGGTCTTTTTGAGACAGGCTCTTGCTATGCAGTTCAGGTTGGCCTTGAACTCACTTTGTAGCCCAGGCTGGCCTCAAACTCACAACGATCCTCCCGCCTCAGCCTCCCGAGTGCTGAGATTACGGTGTGCACCACCACGTCCAATTCCTGAGTGCTAAGATCAGTCGTGTGCCACCATGCCCAGCAGGTGTCGGCTATTTTGTCTCAGCAATGAGAAAATTAACTGAGACAACTATATAGGGCATACAATTGGGTTCAGCAGACCCATCATTTTCTACTGTAGATTTGTACTTGAGCATAATAGTAGCTGGCTGTGTGTCTGTTTCCTGAGGGATACAGGAAACAATCTATGTGTTCACCAGTATAACAAATGGCAAGGAAAAAAAAAAAACGGCAAGGAGTGTGTACGTGTGCAAAAATGGCAAAGCAGGATTTAGACCAAGTGGTTTTGTGTGTGTTTAACCAAGCATCACACAGGGTCCAACAGACCCACACCACTCCAGGATTCTTTAAAAACATTTTTTCCTTTTGATTTTTCCGGTAGAAGTAGCCCAGTTCAGTACAATGGCACATGAAAAACCAGATTTGCAAGTTTTGGAGGAAGTCAGAAGTGAATCATCAGATTACTCATGCATGGATGATGCACATGATCCATTATGATAAAATACATGTTTTCATAACAGAAAAGTGGTGTGGGTGGATGATGATGATGATGATGATGTCAATGACGTTGGGCATGTGAGCCAAAGTTTCTGTGACACTGAAATGGAGCAAGAATTGACTGATAGGCTGGGCGTGGTAGTGCACACCTGTAATCCCAGCACTTAGAAGGCTGAGGCAGGAGGATCTCTGCGAGTTCAAGGCCAGCCTGGGCTACAAAGTAAGTTCAGTGTCACCCTGAACTGTATAGTGAAACCCTGTCTCAAAAAAAAAAAAAAAAAAAGAAAGAAAGAAGGAAAGAAAAAGAATCAGACTGATATAGACACAGACCTCCTTGGTTCAGATGACAAAGAAAACAGCAATGCGAGCACACATGTGACTAGTCAAAATGTTGCAAAATGGCCATGCAACCAAATGTAATGACCCAGTGTTGGAACTAGGCAGGAAAATATAGCGAAGGTCTTGGCAGGGGAGAAACATTGGATAGAGCGCCAGCGCTGACATTCAGTGCTGGAAATCATTACAGATGAAATGCTACAAGATGCGGTGAAATGCACAAAGGCTGAAATGCAAGTAAAACATTCTGTATGCACCAACAGCCATATTAAAAATGTATTTATTATGACACCTCACTTGCTGAACTGAAAGCATTCACAGGTCTGCTGTACTTAGCACAGATTTCTCATGGTGACCACAGGAATGTAAAAGATTACAGAGAAGCAGTGGGGGCCGGGATATAGCTCGGCAGCACGGCACCTGCCTGGCAAGCGCAAGGTCATGAGTTCAATTCCTGGTACCGAAAAAACAGAAAAGCAGTGCGTCAGAATGTGGCATAAAAACGTATGCCCTCGCAGATGGGCAGCCTTACTACGGTTTCAGTGGAGACATCTACCCTGGGGCTCCACGCAACATGCCGAGTGACGCTGTGAACAGACCGACTGTCCCACCTCCCGAGCTGACCAGAGTGCGCCACTCAGCTCACCGGTTTCCAACTGACGCTGCGTTTGCTGACACAGCACAAGCCGACCAGGCAGGAACTGTACTCAAGAACAAAGCAGGAATTTCAAGTGAAACGTTCCAACTGCACAACAGAGAACTGTATAGCACAATCTTTGGATTTGAGAAAGATACAACACTGGCCTCATATATGGCAAAGAACAGTAAACCTGTACTGCGGCTACCAACACTTCACCAAGCTGGACTACTGAGAGGGTAACCTCAACGCAAGGGAAGCCCGAGAGTGAAACTTTCTACAACAAAACCGAAGGTGGGAGAGATGCTGACGAGCTATGCAGCAGCTACAACGTCACTGGGAACACAGAGCACTGGACAACAGTTGTATTTTACTCGGTCCTAACCGTGTGTGGCATAAATAGTTTGACAGCTTACAAAGAAAACAAATGCAAAATATCACAGAGAAATTTTCTTAGAGGATTGGGACTGCAGCTCATAAGAGACCATTTACAGCAGAAGAAAAACAAAATGTGTGTATGCGGGGAACTATGCAAAAAGAAACCCACAGAGCACACTGGTGAGCTGCCAGGTGAACAGGCGGGTGCAGCCTCACGAAGACCTACGACGACAGGAGCTCAAAAAGGCTGTCACCTGTGCCCTACAAGAAAGGACAGAGAACAAAACATACTTGCTCTCAGTGCGAGTGAGACATGTCCTGGAACACGCAGGCGGCCCGTGTTGAAGACTACCTTGGGTGTGACACTTGAAACAAAGCTTATCTCTGTGGTGGAGTTCGATTGGTACTTTTATTATAGTTCACGTAGGAATGTATTTCTGAAGTTATCTTTTAGGTTTTGTAAGCAAGTACACAGCTGCTGCGAAAATGTTAATGTCTATTCTAAACATGCAATACATATTAAAAAGTTAATACTTGATTTTATTGATATTTTATATTCTTGTTAACTACACACTGTGCAATATATTAAGAACCTCCTGACAAAACAACAAGACCACTGAGATGTCAAGTATGTCCCACAAAAAGGACAGGAAAGCAAAACACGTGCTGTCAGTGTAACCGATGCCTGTGTGTGGAACATGCATTGTTAGGAGCGCAGGCTGCCTTAGGTGTGATAACTGGAGGGTTTTTTTTGTAGCATGCTACTGGTATTTTCACTGAAGCTCATGTAAGAATTTATTTGTGTTGTTCTTTTTTTAGTCTCAGTACACAAAAAACAACTGATGTTGAAATTACAATGCTTTTTTATAAACACTTGATACATATTTAAAGACTTAATACTTTATTTTTGTAATATCTTTTCCTATTAAGTACTAATATAATAAAACTCATAAAATTAAAATTAATAATTCATCAATGGAAATATTCTAAAGTCCAGGGATTACAGGCATGCATCACCACAACTGGAAATCAAAATTAAAAATACCATAATTTTTTTTAAAAATGGGAATGTAGCTCGGTGGAAAGGCCTTGGGTTCCATCCCCAATACAGGAACAAACAAAGACAAAAAAGACAAGAAAAAAACACTTCAAAATATGGGAAGAAAATACACCACAACGTAACAGCTGCTCTTTCTGAGGTGTGGAAGTCTTCTGAGCACTTCCTAAAGGACGACTACACCCATCCTCACTACTTCTTTAAATCTCTGGTTTTTGAGAGGTGGTCTCCCTGTAGGGCCCAGGCTGGCCTAACCCCGGGCAGGCCTCCACTGCTACCTCCCCAATACCTGCAACTACAGGTGTGCACCGCTTCAGACAGAAACCTTTAAGTACAGGGCCTTTCTCTGGAAGGAAGAAACTCCAATGCCAGTTACCCTGACATTTCTGACCCTTCTGCTGGAAGTGAGCGCTTTCCCGTACAAGCTCCTGGATTACAGTCACAGCTGATCGCACAGGGCGCCGTTCACGTCCATGTCCTCTCGCTTCCTTTCCAGACGGAAGGATCTGAGCACAGTGACCTCTGAGAAACGATCACCCCAAACGCTGTTCCAGATCACTACATACGTGATGTACAACGCTGAACTCCTGGCTTTAGGGACAGAAAGCGCCTTCCCTCAGGGAGACGGGCACACAGATGCAGGACCGGGAGCGCTGCCGCATGCCCCACCTCCCCACCTGCCTCTCAGCTGAGCCAGAGCAGGGCAGAGCAGAGCCTTCCCACCTCCCCTCTCTTCCCAGGATGCCCGGCTCTCCGGTGAGCATAGCCTCCTCGTGCACCCGGAAGCGCCCTTCTCCACACCTTCCCTTTCCACTGCCTGCTTCTACTTGCACCTTGCTGCTCTCTGCTTCTGTCCTCACCCCACCAACCACCAAGGTCTTCTGCACCCTGAAAAAGCCCTTTCTCCCCCTAAGCTCCTGCGCCCCTTCCCCTTCCCCAACCCTTCCCGAAGGTGGGACTCTGAAACTTGTTCACATCGCGTGCTCACTGCCCACTCACGGCCTTCCACACCACCAGCCTGGGATCTGGCTGTGCTTCGTGCACAAACACCGCTGCAGCGCTCCTGTCATGACCCCTGACCCCTCAGTCCCTCAACCACAGATAGCTCTGCAACCCCTGACACTGCCAGCCAAGAGCTGCTCCACGAGCTGGCCTGGGTCCCCACCCTGTCCCCCTGCCCCCCTCACCCTCCTCTGCTGTGCATGACCAGGCGACCCCAGGCCTCTCCCACCCCCATCTGCTTTCTCCACGCAGTCTCATTCCCGGCACTTCACACGTCATACAGCTTATGGTCTCTAAAACTGCTCTTTGACTCTGACTGCTCAACTGCCCACTGGGGAACTCTACCTGGGCGTCACAGGAGCACCTCAGATCTGGGGTGTCTGGGGCTGGGAGTACAGCTTGGTGGCAGAGTGCTTGTCTAGCATGTACTAGGTCTCTAACATCACACACACACACACACTGCATACACAACCAAAGGGATGGGGATGTAGTTCAGTGGTAGAGTGCTTGCCTAGCATGCATGAGGCTTTGGTTCAACTTAAAGAACTAGAAAGCATGTTTAAATAAACAAGCATGGGGGGCTGGGTGTGGTGGCACAAGCCTGTAATCCCAGTACTCAGGAGGCTGAGGCAGGAGGATAGTTGCAAGTTTGACACCAGCCTGGGCTACAAAGTGAGCTCAAGAGCAGCCTCAACTGCACAGCAAGACCTTGTCTCAAAAAGACAAAAAAGAAAAAAAAAAAGTGTGGGGGGTGCATACCTATAACCTTAGTACACTGGGAGGCTGAGGCAGGAGAATTCCAACCTGGGCCACTTAATGACATAGCAACACCGTGTCTCAAATTTTTTTCTTTTTTGTTCTGAGATAGGATTTTGCTATGTAATCTAGGCTGACCTTGAACTCACTGTGTAGCCCAGAAGGCCTCAAAATTCATGACCATCCTTGATTCTCACCTGTGAGTGCTGGAATTACAGGGGCACACCACCACGCCCGGCTGTCTCAAAGTTTAAAAGTTGAGTATAAAGAGACCAAGGTAGAATGCCCAGTACCATTTAAAAAAAAGAAAGAAAGAAAAAAAGAAAACTTAAGTATACCTGAGAATATTTTGTCTTCCCTCCCTACCTGTTCAACATTTCTATAACGCACATTGTGGTTTCTAAAAATCAGCACCCAACCTAGGTCGTAAGTTAGGAACCTTGAAACTGCCCTGAGACAACCCCTCCCTGTCCTATCCAAACACTAAACAAACCCAGCTCCGCCTGACTACAGCACAGAGCAGGCAGGGCGGCATCAAGGCACCACAGCATGAGTGCCTTCACCCTCCTCCACCCGCCCGCCCAGGAGACTGCAGGAGCAATGCTGTAGTCTACATGGGACACACCCCTAAACCCAGCCACAAGCTCAGCTCTCCCTGGTCTGTACTATTTATCACCACAGCCACCAGAAGGTACCTGTTCATTCTTTTATTTTTTTATTTTAAAAATAAAAGGAGGAAAACATTAACAGACAGACAACCTTTTACAAAATAGCAAAAGAACAGTACAGACAATACAGACTTACAAACAAAGTGGTAGGAAATTAACAATGCTTGTTGTATTACATATTGATATCTTCAAAGTGGTTTCTCAGGAAAACAGAGACATGCAGTATTCATCAATCAAGGACTCATTGACAGTTTCTTTCAGCAAAGAAATAGAAGACAGTAGAACAACTATGTTAACGATCCTGTATATACATACATACAAAATTTCTCCTCCTTCCCCTTCTCCCATCCCAGATGCCCTTTACCCTTGAGCATTTTCCTATCATTTCACAATGTCTATCATACCTCCTAGTTTGAATTAACTCTTTTAGGTTTTACACTAGTGAAACAATGCGGTGCTTGCACATGCAGGTATTCTTAAAAGAATTATTTTTGCGAAAGAAAATCTGATCTTATGACTCCTCCACTTACACACCTCTTGTTGTCAAAGGAAGAAATGTCATCTGCGGTAACTGGCCATCTAACACTTAATCTAGCTCACAGAGCCCTTTGAAGCCTGGCTCTGGGTCTCCTCCTGCCTCTCTTGGTTTCACCCTGCCCTGGACCCTGCCATCTCGCTGAGTTCACCACTTAATGGTCACCCTGCTTCCTCTGTACAAACTCCCCTCCGCAGCCAGGCGCGGTGACACATACCTGTACTCCCAGCACTCAGGAGCCTGAAGCAGGCAGATCACTAGTTTAAGGCCAGCCTGGGCTACATGAGCTACATCATGAGACCCTGTCTCCAAAACAACACAAGACCACCACCCTGTCCTCCAGCATGGACCGAGCACCATCTCTCCCACTGCTCTCAGCAGTGCTTCCCCCATTTCTCTGCAGAGCCAACCGCCCTCTTCCTATGCTCAAAGAACCTGCTCGTGCCTCCCGCTGTTTTCAGGGCCCAAGACATCACTGGAAATATTGTACTGCCAGCCCCAATCGGCCTCCATGCCCTAAATACATTCTTACTGAATGAAGAGCTAAAAACTCAAAGGCCTGACACAAAGTGAGTTAACGGAAGTAGTGATGACATACACTCCTCAAGACCTGACCCTGATTTCTACCCTCAAAACTTCAGAACCAGCCAGGAGTGGTGGTGCATGCCTATAATCCCAGCACTCGGGAGGCTGAGGCAGGAGGATCACTGAAGTTTGAGACCAGCCTGGGCTACAAAGGGAGCTCAAGGCCAGCCTGAACTGCATAGTGAGACCCTGTCTCAGAAAGACCAAAAAAAAAAAAAAACCACTTCAGAACCACCCGACAATCCTAGGACTCTAAGATCGACAGTGTCTTCCCACGGTGACAAAGAGCTTCCAAGAAAGCTTACCTCGAGGGAAAATCCCTGGGTCCATGAAGGTGGCCATGCTGAAGTTGGCCAGCACAAAGAGAAACATGATCGCATTGTAGATGGGCACTGCAGGCGACACATACAGGCTCAGTCCTGGACACCTGCACAGAGAACACAGAAAATGAGGGGCAGAAGCCATACTCACAAATTTGTGAGCATTCAGCTCCTAAGCCAGTCATGGTGCTGTACACCTTTAATCCCAAGCCACTGGGAGGCTGAGGCAGGAAGGAGGATCACAAGTTCAGGGCCAAACTGTGCAAATTAGAGATCCTGTCTCAAAATAAAAAGGGTTGGGGCTGTATCTCAGCGCAAAGACTCCGGAATCTGTCCCCACTTGTTATGGCCTGTCAAGAGGTCCCTCCACAGCCTCATGTGGTCATAGGTGGAGCTTTTCGGAGGTGGCTGGATCCAGAGTGTGTGATGCTGGGATTAAGGATGTGATGCTGGGATTGATTCACGGTGTCATGCTAGGATTAAGGCTGCCCCACCCTGGGTGTAAGTGACAGAAAGGGACCTGCTGTAGTCACTGCTTGTCACTTGTTGCTTGCTGCCTCCTGCCTTCCACCTTCCACCTTCCACCTTCCACTGTAGACTTGTCTCCCCTCTGCGATGCCCCTCTGCCATGCCACTCTGCCTTGGAGCCAGCCAACTCTGGAATGAACATCTATAAACTGTGCTAAATAAACCTTTCCTCCTTTAACTTTGGGTATCAGGTATTTTGTTTCAGCAGAGAGAAAAACAACTAAGACACAAGTATTGAAAAAAAAAAAAAGACAGAGAAAACGAAGATTCAGCCCTACTTGATCACGTAAATCTCAGGTGAGGGCAGGGCAGCAGTCTCCTTGTTTTGGAGACAGGGTCTCACAGTGTAGTTCGGGCTGGCCTTGAACTCAGCGCACAGCCCAGGCTGGCCACGCACTTGGTGAGGTGTCCTTACTCCTCGCTAACCCACGTGAGAGCAGGACTGGGGAGGTAACTGACACCAGCTGTGCTCCCTTCCCTGCCCAGCCTAGGGCTCCTGGCCCCTGGCCACAGCCCACTGTCCCCCGCCAGCTCGCCGTGCTCCCCGCGGATTCCACATGGCTCTCGGGCTACCTCCAGTTTCTCCGCTGTATCAGGTATTCCTGGATCTTACTCAACTGCAGGATTATTGTGAAGTTGGGAAATTTAAAAGAATGCAGACAAGGGTGACTATCAAGTCCCCACCCCCATGACACTGGAACACAGGAGGGGAGGGAACAGATTCCAAGCCCAAAAAAGCCCGAGGCCCACAGAGGAAGGGGCTAGCTAAACATCTCCAGTACTCCCGAATTCCCCTGGAAACAGCTTCACTCTGACTGGGAAAGAGCTCGCCCGCCCTCAGCCAGGGTTAGCTTGAGGCACTCAGGCTGCCTCCACGGCCCTCCTGGAGTCCCAGTGTCAGAACTTCCGCTGGGAGCCAGGGTTCTGACAGCAGCAAACGCCCCTTCTCCCACCTCTGCGCAGAAGAATTTCCCATTACAAGACGGGGCAAATGCCCTAATCTGCTTACAGCTGAGAACTTAATCTCCAGATTCGGGGCAGCATCTGTCCTCAGGCCCTGGGTCTGGGCCAGCCGGAAGAAAGAAGAGCTCACTGAAGGGAAGGAAGACAGGCCAGGAGAATGAGACACTCTGAGTCGGAGGACTGCAGCACCGTACCCCTAGGCCTCGTCGGAGACAATGATCTGCCCCTCAGATCCAAAAGCACAGCTGGGCAGAGGCTCAGGAAGGTTTGCAGGCCCTGAGCTCTCCAATGAAATATTAATAACTCAAAAGACAAAATGTCACAAAGCACCTCACAATCTTCACTGCTACTGTCTATGTTACCAAACTCCATTCTGCCATTCATTCAAAAAACCTTAAGTATTTGTGTGCCAGGCTTTTAAAGTGCTTAACTCTGTGCTTTTCCTGATACACGCTGTACTTGGGACACAGAACAGTGATGCTGGAGCAAGACTACTGATCTCACAGGAAACACAGCCCCAGTCACAGTCCTGCCCTCCTGGGACCAGCTCCGGTTCCCAGTGAAGCCTGTCTCTCTGGGTTCTTCGGTTAGAGGTGGACACACCAGAGCCTGACCTCCCGGGCTCCTCAGGAGGGAGGGGGAGAAACTGGAAACCAGTCATCCAAGTCAGAGCCCCTCCTCGGCTCAGCTGTCGCTTCAGTTTACACCTGGGGACGAGGAGAAAGGGTGACTCATTCCCCTCCCACAGCCTGGGAAGATAATTGGAAGGAAAAATAAATTGAATCCTTACAGCAGAGGTGCCTACGACTTAAAATTGCTAGCACTGGCCACCAGGACTCCCGTGGCCTCTTGACCTTCTGACCCGAGCAAGCAAGGCCCTTCCAGCCCAGAGCAGAACTGAAGTGACTAAGGTCAACTCCGGCACTGATCTCTGGTCCCACTCGCCCTACAGTTCTGTCTCCGAACACAGTACTCACCCCGGACCTGGGGTGTGCTGCCGGCACAGCCCTGGGTGAGGATGCCTACCCGACACGGGCTCTCGATACCTGCCCGTCCCAACTCAAGCGTGTGAGCCTGGAACCCAGTTCCAATATCTGTTGCCAAAATAAAGCTCGCCTCCACTGTGGCAGGATCTACAAGTGACGAGGGTGACTCAAGCTCAGAAGCGGCATCTTCTACCCTTAGCGCTCGGAAGGGAATGCGCACTGCCACGGGGCACGCGCAGCAGAGCCTGTTCCAGCCGCTGCCCACGCGCCGCCTGGCTCCCCGAGTGGCTCTCCCCTGCCCCTGCACTTTGACAGACTCTGAGATGACCGCCAGTGGCGGCTGGAGCCTGCTGCCTTTGAGGGGGGCGGCGATCCAGAGTAAGGAGAGGAGCTGCCTGGACCTGTTCTCAGACTCGGCAGCATAACCACAGGGCACCTGCAGCACAGGGAGTGGCCAGCCTGGAAGGCAGGCTGAGTCACTGAAGGATTCCCAGGCTAAGCCGTCCGGGCAGAACAGGTTTTTCTGCCCACCCGCTCAGCACTCCCCCAAGGCCAGAGGCAACCCAGGAGGGGGCTACAATATCCAGTCCTGAAACTGAGCCGCCCCAACACTTCCCAAGTAAAAACTAGAAAGTTCCTAGAAAGAAAAGCCAAGCAGACACAGGAGCTGTGGCTTTTAATCCCGCCTCAAATAATGCTTCACTTGCAGCCTTGCGTAACCCACACGCAACCCTCAAGCTCGCTACTTCCGCTACAAGAGACAAACTGGAGAGCAAAGGAGAGCATCTGAAAAGACCCTGCACGTCTGAAATCAGCCGGCTCACTGAGCATCCAGGACAGCAGACACAGGGACCACTAACTAGCACGGCCCTACCACTCTTCACTGCAGCCCACGCCCTAGCTCCACTTCCCCGAGCCCTGCGCTAGGGACCCAGGACACGGAGACAGAGGCCAGCGCCTAGAGGCCAGGACTACAAACCCGGCCCGGGCCTGGCACACGGCTGGGCTCAAGGTGCTCCTCACTGTCAGACCAGGCTAGAGTGAGGACTCACTCCCTGCCCTGGGGGCCCCACATCCAGCAGGGCTTTGTCAAAACTCTAAGACAGTGATGGCAAACTTTCTAGAGCTCTCACTGATGCAAACAGCCCACTGCAGCATGTGGGCCACAGGTCTGCCACCACTCTCTATGGGAAAACATTTTCTCCTCACACAGGGGATCCATTTCTCTTAAGACTTGCCCTGCAGCCAGGCATTGCAGCGCATACCTACATATCCCAGCATATCCCAGCATGCGGACGGCAGGACAGTCACAAGTTAGAGACCCTGCCTCAAAAAAAGGCCAAGCAGGGTAGCACAGCCCTACATCTCAGGATTTGGGAGGCTGAGACAGGAACATTGGGAGTTCAAGTCCAGCCTGGACTACACAGTGACACGCAGTATCAAAAAACCAAGCCAAACCAAGCAACAGCAAGCCCCCTGCAAGCCCCACTTGCTGTGTTTCTGTAACCTACACTTTCCAGCAACTGAATGCCACAGGCAGGGCCTAGGCACCTACTCCTGGGTGGGAAAACCATGTGGGAGAAAGAAAGGATCCGCCACTGCCCAATGAATGGCCTACATCACAAGACTACGCCCACTCAGTCAGGTGCTAGTACCTCCACAATCAGGGAAGAGAAAACAGGAGAGACTGAGGTTGCCCAACTCTGTAGGTAAAAGGGCTGGAACCGGCCAGGGACAGAAACCGAAAGCCAGCACGCGGATGAGGTCCCTAGAAAAGCGCTCCCGTTTCTGGATGGGCCTGATCTCTAGCCTGGAGGCTTACCCAGAGCAAGACCTCCCTTTACAGCTGCAGAAAGGACAAACAGCACTGAGTTACATCACTGGCAGCAGGCTGAAACTCCAGGAAGACCAACTGGGTGACTTTAAGGGGGCTGCCAGGAGCCTTAAGGGCTCAGGGAACCCCAAAAACACAGCAAGTGGCTAGGTCCCCACACCAGCCTCCTGTGGACCGCAGCACTGCTGCCTCCTGGTTCACACGCGGGCTTCGGCTAAGGTGTTTCTCCCGAAGAAGGGTCATACTGCTTAACCAACTGCTCGGGCTCCACCTCCTCACTGAGAGAGGAAGAGCCCCAGGCCACAGGGTTAACAGGCTTAGCAAATCATCTCCGGGCCCCCACTGTCACCCGCCTCACTCAGCACTGCCCTGCCAGCCCCAGCAGTCACCTAAATGCCTCCCAGGTAGAGTCTGGGCGCCCCAGGGGCGGCCTACCCTCCCCGCAAAGGGGGAGGACATGAACTAGGACAGCACTCCGCACTGCCCACTTCCACCGGCTGGGGACGAGAGGGGCAGAGCTAGCTCTGGGGGCAGGCTTCAACTGCTCTGTCCAAACTTCTCTGGGCAGAAGAAGATCACCATTTCTCTGGTGACCAAGCCCATTGGTGATTTCTGCTCAAAGCTTTCCACACTTGACAGAGAAACATGGAGGCTAAGCTGTTCCTGATTAGCTAAGCCTACATGCTTCACTAATTATGTCTACCAGCTAAGAGACACTTCCTCCCACTCCTCGTCCTCTAGGTCCCACCTCAGCCTGCCTTGGAGTAAGAAGAGGCAGCTGTGGCCGGAGAACAGCAGGGAGGCAGAGGGCAGACTGCAGGCGCTCCTGGGCGCGGGCTCCGAGCGCCTTCACCACCTCTCCATCCGAGCCCAACAGCACCTTCTGAGGCTGCCTATGGCTTTCAACAAGGAGCGCTCCCAGGACTTGAACCCAAAAAGGGCTAGAACCACAGGTCAATAGTGTTTGAATAACTGCCCCTTGGCCCAGACATGAGCTTAGAGAGACACCGCACGCGAACAGAAATACAAGGCGCAGAGCGAAGTGAGAGAACTCCGGGGTGGGCAGGGGACCTCAGGGAGCAAAGGGAGCCGGAATCGGACGCAGTGAGAACTTCACCGCAGACCCCAGGCTCCTCTCACTGTGGGTCAGAGGCAATCGGCGGCCAGGGGCTGGTAACTCTGAGGCCAGCCTGGGCTACATGGTGAGTCCAAGGCCAATCTGATCTACACAGCGAGACCCTGTCTCAAAAATAAAATAATATGAAAGAAAAGAAAAGAAAAAACCAAGTCAGTGATGTCCTCAAAACCAAGACGAACGTAATTATGATGTGTTGCAAACACATACTAGTAACAAACACATCTCCATGATCTTTTCTCCTGGGGCTGAGAGACCACAGATGCAGGAGGCCCCTATTTTACTGGCACCAGAGAATGAGAAAAGTAGGTTAACCAGCTTCAACTATCGGTTGAGAAAATGCCTATGTCCGTACAGCTCTGTGGGCAAACTGGTAGAACCAGCCAAACGCTACAATGGTTCCAGATCAGCAAATTAAGAACGGGGACTCTGCACGCCCTGAGGAGAACCACCACTCCCTCCCGACTCCCGGGCTCCTCCCAAGGCTCTGCGTCTCCAGGCCAGCAGGGCCACCAAGCCAAGGAAGGCCAGAGTGTCACAGACCACACGGCCACAAGGACACAAAGACACCCAGCAACACCTCTGGGTCAGGAGTCTGACTGCGCTTCCTGGTCTCGACAGCAAAAGCACAAGCAAGTCCGGGCACAGAGGCTGACACTTCTTTACCGGTAGTCAACACACAGAGGAGGTCAGGGTACTGGGCAAGGTAATTACAGAGACCAAAGCCAGACAGAGAAGGGCAGGGCTGTCCCCCATCCCTGAGGGACCTGGCAAGGATGGGCAGGACCCAAAGCTGTGGCCAAAACACCCCCAACTTCTGCGCTCCAGGAGGAGGCGAGAAGCAGGCTGATTCTGGACAGGGGGAAGGATTCATCCCCCTTCTTTAAAAATCGGGGAGCACACCGGCAACACTTTCCTTCCTCCTGCCTATCAGACTACGGACCTGCACACACCACCAACTCCTGCCTCACCGGCCCCAAACGGCTCGTACTGCCTGTCGGCTCAGCCTCTTGCTCTTCCAGCAGCCTCACGCAGCTCAGCAGCACCTCATAATTAGGCTGCAGCTGGAACCATATCACAGTGAACTTTCCAGAAGAGCCAGCGTGTTCTGATCCCTCTGAAAGCTGCGGCCAGAGTGCTAACTCGGTGACTCAACGGATTAGAGCTTGGAAGACCGGTATAGGCCCACTTCCACACTGCCAACGAGGCACAACACCAAGAGCGCAACACGCAGGCAAGGCACGTCGAGGTTCTAGCTGGGAACGCCGCAGCCCCTCGAGCCTAAGCAGGGCATCCTCCCGTGCCTACTGCTTTTCCCGAGGCAAACAGGAATGGGAGCCCCGCTCACCCCCTTCGGCAGAGCCAACCCTGAGGACGCTGCCTACATCAAGCATGGCCTCCAGTGGACTTCACGTCTCCAGGCCTCAGTGCTTACGGAGAGTACAGAAAACAGGACACTGGGCACACCATTGGGGCACAGCTGCGGAGCACAAGTTCAGGCCCAGTCTGGGCAACACAGTGACTTAGCAAGACCCTGTCTCAAAATTCAGAAGAAATTAAAGAGGGGCTGTGGCTGTAGTTAAACATGAAGGCCCTGGGTTCAAATCCCCCATACAGAAAAAGGAAAACCAAGATGACCACCTGAGCAGCCCTGCACCAACACCGTCACATGGGTGTACCGTGCCTTACGCTCGCTCGGAGATCCAGAGCTGCTCCACAACCTCAGCCCTAAGCTCCAGACATCCTAGCAGAAACCCACTCCAGGTGAAGACTTCCATCTCCTTCTCCTCCCCACAGAACTCACTGCTTAAACTGCCACGAGCCTCTGGTGGCTTCCTCCCACCTCCCTCACCTAGCTGACAGGGAGTGGGGAGGAAGCTCGGCAGGAAGGGAGCCGGAAGCAGGGGTGTCAGGGAGCGCCTATCCCAGCCGCAAGGGAGGCCTCTCCGCACCCCCGACCTCTCTCTGAGTGCGACACCGAGGGACCCCAGAACTCGGGAACATGCCCGCCCCACCTCCCAGCACACCACTCCCCGGAGGAAACTCACGTAAAGGCGAAGAAGAGGGTGGTGGCGCCCACTAGGAAGACGGCGGCTGCGGAGACCGGGACATACTTGCTGGGTTTGAACCTCTTTCCAGACTCTGAGGGCATGTTGGAGCTGTGAAGGGAGAGCTGCCCTGCCGCATAGCCCAGGCACACGCGGCGGCAGGACAGGCAAGAAACGGGGCGAGGGGCGGCGGAGAGGGCGCCAACCCAGGGAGGCTGGAGCCGCCAAGGTAGCACCCGCCCCCTCCCAAGAGCACTGCAGTCACAGGTCCCGGAGGAGGGGAAAGCACGGGCAGGAAAGGCGGCTTCAAGTGCTGAGGAGCCGGCCCTGGGGCAAGGCCTGGGGGCAGATTAGGAGATCCGAGCGAGTCTGGAAACTGGCCTGCGACCACAGGCTGCGCACACAAGCCAGGTGCAGGTGGCCAAAGCACACAGTCAGGCAGCCCGAAGCCCGGCTCGGACACGGCGGCACTTCGAAAGTCAAGGGCATCCGGCGTGGGCACACAATCCCAAGGAGACCCAGCAGCAGCTCCACTCGAGGGCACCCTGCCCCCTCTCTTGACTCAAGAGGAACCCAGGGCCCCGTCAGCTTTCAAGAGAAGCTCTTGTAGCTGCAGTCCTTGTCCCTTCTGGGCGTCTTCCTGGGGCCACCACTCCCGCACCTGGACTTCACCAGGGCCTGCTGTCTGGCAACAGCGCCTTAATTTTATTTCTTCCTTTCCTGATGGCCAACACAGGGCAGCAGCTGTCACGGGGCTGCGCTGTAAGCCCTCTTCTCTGACGGGGGAGGGAGAGCAGCACGCCTGGCCGTCTTCACTCTCTTCCCGCTCTTCCTGACCTCTTACAGGCTCTGTTTCCCATAGAGTTCATGCAAAACTGAGGGGAAACGTAAAATCCACGAAGCCATGTTCTTCCCAGCAAGCAGAAAGCGATGAAGAGCCACGTCCTCGTGACGACGCTTTAACAGACCACCGTGGGTAAAGGCAAAGCTCCAAAGGTGTCCCCGTCTCCAAGTTTCTCAAGGCCTCTGATCTTCCGTCTTCAAACGTGGGCTTTGCGGATGCAGAGGTGAGCTGCGTTATGGTGTCTCACCTGGAGAAAAACAAGGTGTTGACCAAAGAAAGTCTTCCAGGGCGTTTCTAAACAACACCCCCTAGCCCCACAGGCTTCTCAGTTAAAAGGTCCTTTTGAAAGAAAATGACTTTCCTCTTCCTTCTATGCACAAGGGAAAGGACAGGGACCCAGATCCTCTCCCTCCTAAGCACTGTTCTCACAGGAAGGAAGAGAACAAGGCTTTTCCCCGCCTAAGGTCATCAAAGGACTGGCTCTTCTAAGAGGCCCATCTTACCTGTGTCAAATACCATGAACACAAAAGGCAAAACAGGAAAACAGGAGCACAACATGAGGGGCGGTTCTAGAACAGAGATTTCTCTTTGCGCAACAAGAGTATTTACTGCTACTGTGAAAAATGTAACCTTAAAATTAGGGCAACAAATGCTTTTAGTTATATCCCTGAAGAGGCACAAGCTGAATTTCAGGCCTTCGAGAATCATCTACTAAAGGAGCTAGGTGAGAAATAGTTTGCATTAAAGATAAAATGCCCTCTAAGAGGAACTGGATCCACCATGGGGACTGGTCCTGGTCTTCCCGATTCAACAGTTGTTCATTCCTACACTGGCCTAGTAGGAAGTAATCTGAGCCCCACCTAACCCAGTATGAGTAAGAGTAACAATTATTTCTGTTGATGACAGTAGCAAAATAATACCAGCAACTTGATTTTACAAGTTGCTTTTCATCTGATGATCTCAAGGCACTCTACCCCTATTATCTGGTGACACAGCCCAGCTCCGCAGCACTGAAGGCCGGAGAGCCTGAGGCTGCTCCACTGAACCACCTGAGCGCAGCCATCCCCGGCCCTGTGCTGACACGGCCCTGCCGCTGCCTTCTCACCCACCTCACTAAATGCCTGAGGAGAACCACCTGGACCTACAGCCATTTCACTTAAGGTAGAATTTTAACAGAAAGCAGTTTCATTTCCCTCAGCAGCCTACTACTTAAAAGCAAAGGCAGAGATTAAACATATCAGAAAATTTGGATAGTAAAATACAGATGTACTCTAGAATTCTCAGAAGGCCCAGGCACCTGCCTCCAAGATCCACACCCGCTTAACAACTGGGTTCAGAAGGCCAAACACCAACAGCGGAGTACAGCGAAGTCCCAGAGACGGAAGAAATTACTACAGCTGAAACACACAGGAACTCTCTAGGCCCTGATTTCAGGAGCATTTAATCCTTGGTTTCCAGGAAGAAAAAAAAAGGCCAGCCTTCTGAATCTAGGCCTTAAGTAACTTTGTTAACAACAGAAGGCATTGGGGCCAGGGAGGAGCTCCGTGGCACAGCACCTGCCTGGCAAGTGCAAGGTCCTGAGTTTGACACCAAGTATCAAAAAAAAAAAAGAAAGAAAGAAAGAAAGAAAGAAAGAAAGAAAGAAAGAAAGAAACAAAGGCAAAATCTATTAAAGCAAAGGTTTCCCTCAAAACCCTGAAGATTAAAGAAATAAAATTGTACTAACTTGGTCTAAAGTACCATTCAGACACTATACATTACTTCAATTCTACTTCTACAGGAAAAAATGTACATGGCCTAATATTAGCATAGTAGTGGAGTCACTAAAGGCTAT